TGCTCGGCTATCCTATCCACTGGCTAACGCTAACGTTAGCTTATCTAAACTATGATCAACTAACAGAGTTTTGACAAAAAACTTCAGCATTTTGAGTCACTTGCGTATCAATCGACGCATACATACACATATAATACATATATATACCAACCACAAATACAAAATTAGAACAAAAATGTTGGCTATACGTACTTGAGTTGATCATTCTTGAGTGAATTTGCCGCCTGCGAACGTTGGCTGTGAAAGCTCAGAGTAGGCTACTTGGATTATGGATAGTGGGCATTAGTGTAATGAAAAAATATTAATCTATCGTTTAATATTTAATTCAATCGTACAATGCCACATTACTGTAGGAGACTATTTTTGTGTTAAGTTTTTAGTTTTCAATGTTATATTTTATTTTAATGTTTCAATTCAATAATCAAAGAAATATATGAAGACGTTACACCCCCATATTATTTTTGATTTGTTCCATTCCAATGATTTCTGGCGCTTGCGGCTCAAATACGTATTACGGATCTGGGCCAAATCTGTAAACCAGCAAAAATACTGCACTGCTTGCAAATGGAATGTTTAGGCTGAAAGCTCTATCTGGTGCGGATCTGGCCCACAGTCAAAAAACGTGTGTGAGCTACAAACGGATCTAAAGGCTTTCGTGCGGATCCGGCCCAAAGGTAATTGCTATCTGGTAATTGCTATCAGTAGCTCTAGATCTAGAGCTACTGGAAGCCGAATCTCGGGGACCGGAGAAAGTGGAGCAATATTCTCACCACGCCCAGCAACAGCCTAGAACAACCTCAACCTATACAAGTAACCGCATGTAAACCATTCTACTGATGCTGGACAGGTTTTCAGTGGGTGCACAATAAACGGCAACATACAAATGAATGTAAATAAATAGCCAAATAATGGATCAACGCTCTCTGTCTAATATGTTCGCTAGCTGTTAGTGTTGTTGCATAGCAACCACCTCGCACTAAGTTTCTCGCAGAAGGCAACGGAGGGACTATTTGCTTAATTAACACTAATACAAAATTAAAACCTGTAATTGCACACTAACACCATTATTTCAAAAAAAGAACTATTTCACATAAACCTTGCTGGTGCAATTCAACTTGACATGCACACATGTGTTTAATCGTTAATGTCAGATATGTACGAAGTAAATACATTTGTTCCTGCTCAAGATTAGATTCAACTTTATTGTTATTGCACATATTACAGGTACTGAGACAACAAAATGCAGTTTAGCTTCTAACCAGGTGCAACAAGCAGTAAAGTGAAAAGTAATGTACACAATCTACAGAATAAAATATTGAATGATGAATAAACAGTGAGGGGTATGAATACACTAGATCAGTGGTTCCCAAACTTGTTGTGCCCAAGGCACACCATAGGACAAGTAAAAATCTCAAGGCACACCTATTGTGCAAAATAGCCCTTATAACACGTGTTATCACTCATATCATGTAAAATATCTGTAAATGTGCATAATTATTTACTAATGCCAAATAAAATGTGACAAAGACAACTATATTACTCATGACATATTTATTAACGAAATATTTCAGAAATGTATTTGAAACTTTATCAAATTAGGTTTCATCAAAGCAGCAACACACTCATTTAAACCAGACAGGTCACAAAATAAAAATGTCAGCAATCAGCATTGAAACATGTGCTATTGTAAATATTTTTGCCGACTTACAAATTAGTGAGATACATGTGCCTGTCGGGGAGCGCAGAATTTTTGAATCCTTGGTGGCACTGAGGAGAGGGCCACTCGCAAGTCCTGTTCAACAGAGAGCCGTGAGTCCCGTGACCTCCTGTTGTTCTTCATGTAAATCAGAGTAGAGAACGCCAACTCCAGAGATGGGGTCGTTACTAAATGTTTTTAATATATTACATATTACATATAAGTAATATATTACACTACTTCGTTACTATCTACATAAAGTAACTCGTTACTTTACTCGCCGAGCACGTACGAACTTGCGCATGCCTGAGTGGCAATAACTTTCCTTACCAGCAGGCGGCGGTAGTGTGTATTTGTCATTCAAAACAGGCAACAACCGGAAGACAGAGAAGAAGAACAGACGACGTGATATAAACAAACAACAAATAGCTGTGCGGTAGCTTCACCTTAGCATGTGTTCTTTGCAGGTGTTTGTTGAGGTTTGACCACGTGGTGTTTCCAGCAGTGGATAACAGCTTCTGGCCTGGACACAGTTTGCACCTCACCGTCACATTCCTGTCTATTCTTCGGACGAACTCAAAATAATGGGCATACCTCCACCCCTCGAGAGTTATCGCTGACTCAGCCATGTTTATGCAGCACTGCACGTGGAGATGTGGACGCGCAAGTCGCGCAGATTACGTATATATAAACCTACAAAGTACTGATATAGTAAATAAAAAAATTATTATTTATGTGTAGTTGTATATTGCAATAATAACGTATGGTTGTCACAAAATCCCACGGCACACCCGGACTTGCCTCACGGCACACCAGTGTGCCGCGGCACACCGTTTGGGAACCACTGCACTAGATATACACAGCAGCCTGTGAGCAGTATGAACAGTGTGTATGAATATGCTAAGATATATAAAGTATGAAAACGGTAAGCAGTGCAAGTGTATAAAATATATAGATATTAATTTCATGATGATAAATATTGTGGAACAATGATGAAAAATGTGAATGGAAGTGGCGACGTAAAACTGACACAAAACAACAACAAACTTTTGCCGAGCCAATGGGAGAGTTTCATCACCAGCAGCACGTGGTAAAAACCACCAATGAGCGCTCAGCTCGAGATACCAGCGAGTCGTTTCCCATCAAGCATTTCGCTTCTGCAGCTCGTGGAGAGGAACTGCGCCGCTGTCAGTACCAGATGTGTTCGGGGCATAGATATATATATAAACCAGGGGTGCCCAACCAGTCGATCGCGATCGACCGGTCGATCGCGGGGAGATTCCCAGTCGATCGCGAGATGTGTCTAAAAATAGAATAACAATATTCTGTTTTATCGTTAATGTCCTATAACATAATCTTCCTGTGCCAGAATAATGTACTTGAACGCATCAAAGCTTTGTGATTGGCCGGCGTGACCCCAATGTGTCTGGGCGTGGCTGTTGGGCAGTGGGCACTATTTCGCTGATGTTGTCCATGTCAACAGGAGTACCGGAGCCTACACACGGCGGGGTGCGTTGCCGCTTCAACGCTTCTGCCCATTCGCTTTGAATGGGGTGACGTCACGATTTGCCGAACTGCATTGTGGGAGCAAAGCGTAGCTTCTCTCGCGGTGCTCGCTGCAAAAGTAGAGCAATGTTCTACTTTTGCCGCCTCGACGGAGGCGTCAGCCAATCAAATCCCGCGTATGCAAATCTGACATTACAAGCGCTAGCCAATCAAACCGCGTGTATGTTGGGAGAGCCAGACCGCAGTTATTTCCCATATGTCAAAAAATGGAGGAGAAAATGATCGTGGCGGTACTATATGACCAGTCCCTCTTTACATACAGGGATACAAACCGGAGGAGCCAGGCATGGGGGGAGGTGGCAGAGACAGTGGGTGAAACTGGTAGGTGTTCGCCTGTTTGGGGAGTTTATATCCAGTGTACTTCGTTTGAATGGACAGCTAGCAAGCATAGACAGTATATTTAGCCAGCATGGATGTAGCGTGAATGCTTTGCTTTGTATGTCCGGGGCGGGACATTCATGTGATTGGTTGTTGGTCGCGTTGTTCGTAAAAAATCCCCAAGCTTCAGACCGCCCACCGCCAAGCGGTAACGCACGCCGCCGTGTGTAGGGGCCGTCCGCAGTGCACACACACTACCGCAATTATGGCAGAAGCAAAAAACCCCAAAATATATAATTTTCACTCCGAGTGGGAGGATGATTATTTTTGTATCTGTTCCAATTCAAAGTCCATCTGTCTCATCTGCAATGCGAGCGTGGCTTTATCGAAGAAGGGTAATTTAGGAGCGGCATTTCAAAACAGTGCACAAACCCTACGAGACGGAATTCCCTCCTAATTCTGCCCTACGCTCCCAAAAGGGGAGGGGCCTGAAAGGACAGCTAAATGCACAGCAGTCCATTTTCATCAGGCCCAACAACAAGAGCAAGGCTGCTACCATAGCATCTTATCGTGTCAGTCACGTTCTTGCGAAACACATGAAGTCTTTCAAAGACGGCGAAGTTGTGAAAGAAGCTTTCCTGGAGGCTGCCGACGTGCTTTTGGGGGACAGTAAAAATAACAGCATTTCAGGTTTTTGATATAATAGATACCATTATTAATCAGCTGTAAGTTTTTGTTTGTTTGAACTCATTCATTATAATTATTGTACAAAATGGTATAAGAATGCAAACTTAAATTGATTATAGTCTATTATCAATTCAGGTTAAGAAACTAGTGTTGCTTGCATCCTATTTTAAAGGCATTTATTTGTATACTCTACTAAAATGCAACAAAAAAAGGTTTGATTCTATTAATTTTGTCTTTTTTATTGCACTTTGGCAGCAGATTCCTGTGTAGCTTCAGATCTGAGTTGTCTTATTAATAAGCCTAATTTATACTTTTGTAGCAACACTATTTTTATATCATGGCAAAGAAAGGATTCAGAGTATTTTCTTTTTCTCCTGTGTCATATGTGGCAGCACTGTTCAATGTTTCTTGAAAACATTGCCCACTGTAGTATGTGACGTGTGAATAAACTCCAACTCTGTATCAACAACACTGTTGTGTAACTTCAGTTAAATACTTGTATGTGTGTAGATTAGAAAGAGGTAAGATAAAGGATCTGCAGTATTTTATGAAGTAATAATCGTACAAAGGTCAGTTTTATTCAAGTAGAAGTGTGTATTTACCTGGTAGGAGGCTGTCAGTAATGGCTACGCCTCTCTATTTGGACTGGTAGATCTCAGCAGACTGGCAACTTTAAAAGTAGCTCTCGGTTCAAAAAAGGTTGGGCACCCCTGATATAAACACTAGATGGCTCATGGGAGATTTGGTACGCACTATGGTAGCTGTTGTAAGGTGAGGTGAGTGATCTGCACAAAAATACTCTTAAATCGCTGAAATCTTGACTGATTTACAAACGGTTTTGTTTATTATAAACATTATTAGCATGGCTATGATACAGGATGCTTGGACATGTTGAAATTGCAGCTTTTCTTTGTGTATGACGTGGTTGTATTTATTAGCTGGCTAATAACAAGAGGCTGTGAGTGAGACCTAGTATTACAAAGTTGACCCAGCAACTTTACACCAGTGGGAGAGGCATAACTTCTCTTTCTTTTCAACATAATTTAAGTTACACATGATTTCTTCCAAGTGGTTGGGCTTGTTAAAAACATCTTACATTTTAGATACATTATGATACAGGAAATTGCTGGCTTTGTGTTTACAGAAGTACCTGACTATGCCTGACTTTTGTGCAGCCTACGGCTGCTCTAATCACCGCAGTCTGCAAACAAGAACCCGTGGAATCACGTGTAAGATATGACAATATTATGACTAAAATTAGGATAATCGTTAATTACAAGTTAATTACAAGTCCTGCTACACAGGATCAGTGGGGCTATGTGAGATAATAGTATTGCAAGATTGATGTTGACCCAGCCTCTTTAGAATATGTTGCTACCATTTCTTTACACAATTATGTAATGTTTCTTTTGGACACCTTTTTTATTACTCTTAGTGTGGTTGTCTTATTCTTAAAGTATACATACATACATTACATACATACATACATACATACATACATACAATTACCCCAAAAATATGATAATTTCGGTGTGTATTTTTGTCCTTACCCTTAATGTTAAAGGAAAGAAGGGCGGACAATGTTGACAATAATTTATATATCTGGCTACCTTTCTCATGTTTTTAAGGTTTCCCAAAACCGGAGAGAGGAGGAGGCAGTGGGAAGTTGCCCTAAGAAGGGACGGTTTTGTTTCCTCTGGCAGGACGCTGCTCTGCAGTGAGTACTTCAGGAGTGAGGACTTTGACGGGACGGGGCAGACTGTCCGGCTTAAAGATGGTGTTGTGCCAACAGTATTCAATTTCCCAGCTCATCTTCAAAGGGTATGTGTATCATTGGCCAACAAGAATTCAAGGTGTATAAGATTGATTGATAAATATGTGATTAAATGTCACACTTTAGTTTTTCTTTCTGCAAGTTTAGGAATAAATAATGTGTTGTGTATTACAGCACATTTTAAACACTCAAAATGTCTTTAATTATGTTTATTTTAGCCGGAAGCAACAAGAAGCACAACCACTTCAAGAAGAGCGGAAGATGAACCTCAGCCTAATGTTGTGAGTATTCTGAATGTGGCCAAGACCAGAGAGATGGTCATTGATTTCAGGAGGGTGAGGACGTCTCTTCTACCCCTGTGCATTCTGGGAGAGGATGTGGCTGTTGTGGAGGACTACAAATACCTGGGAGTGCACTTAGACAACGGACTGAACTGGAGGATCAACACTGATGCTGTGCACAAGAAGGGGATGAGCAGACTCTATTTTCGGAGGAAGCTGAGATACTTCCACGTGTGCAGTAAGATGCTGGAGATCTTCTAGTCTGTTGTGGCCAGTGCACTCTTCTTTGTTCCGGTCTGCTGGGGGGGCAGCATCAGAGCCGGTGACACCAGCAGGATCAATAAACTGATTAGGAAAGCTGGGTCTGTCATCGGCATCAAGCTGGACCCCTTTGAAGCTGTGGTGGAGAGGAGGACACTGAACAGGCTGTTGTCCATCATGGATAACCCCACCCATCCTCTCCACCTGCAGCTGGACAGTCAACGGAGCTCCTTCTCCAACAGACTGCTGCAGCTCCGCAGTGCCATAACTCAACAAATCACCTCTGGCTGGAAGATAACTCTCTGCTCCATAGTTTCTCTTGAATATAACCACGTTGTACATTTTACACATATATCATCTATTTAATATTTAACATTAATATTCCATATGCCTTATATTTATGTATATTATATATATAATATCCTGCCAAACTCAACATGTATATTTTCCTCTTTTTTTCTTTTCTTTATTTTTCTTGCTTATTTCTAATTCATTGTAAAATGCCTTGTCCCTTATGCTGCTGTAACTAAAAATGTTTTCCCAAATTGGGATCAATAAAGTACCATCTTATCTTGTTTTATTTGCATGTGGAATGTCACTAACAAATGAGAGCATCATATGGCTTGTCATATTAAATCCTTTATCTCTGTGGTACCCAGGAAGGTCTATGATGGTGTTACTAGGAGAGCCCAATATAATTTGAGGTGGTACTCTGTGTAAAAGGTTTGAGAACCACTGGCCATCTCACTTGCTCTATGTCACTCATACACTTGAATAAACATGTGCAAACATTGAAACAACACCCAGGGATTGGCAACCTTTACAATCAAAATAGCCATTTTTGTCCAGAGCCTCAAAACATATTTTTGCCTTTATAAGGGGAAAAGCCTATTAAGATCAATTTCTTAAAAGTACGCTGAGTTGTGTTTTCTGTTGGAGAATGTAAAAAAAATCAGGCTCACAGTATTGATAAGTGAACATTGAATTGTTAAAAAAGTAACTTATTAATTTCCATATTACTATTATTTATATATTCGTATAATTGTGATAAATGAGACAGAACTGGCCTGTCTGTGAGCTCATTTTATGTTGGTTTGGTTCTTCTGATAAAGGTGTGAATATCTAAATAATATACCACCATATGCTATTGTCACTAGTTGTGTCCCTATTCTTCAAGCTAAGGCATTGCTAAATTAACAACTCTTGGCTTACAGAGTGGTAACATGAGACCGATTTTTATATATAAAATATAAATATATTTTAATTTTATAATTTATTTTAAATATTAACAATATAATAAAAATAAATGGAAATATATACACCGGCAAATATTTAATATAAATACCTTATGCGAGTGTATAGCTATTGCTTTATCTGCTTAATGTTATTTTCATAAGAAAGTCCATGACTATAAGTATACAGTATCATAACTACATCTTTGATGTTTATAAAAAACCAAACCGGTTGAAAATTGAGCAAGCTATGGTTATTTAAATAGTAAACCATAATGTTATGAATGAGAGCACTACCTGTAGCAAGATGGCGGCCATGTGGCAACGTCGGTCTCCATTGGCCAGCAGCGCGGGTGAGTCATCTAGTGTTTATATATATATATCTATGGTTCTGGAGTGGAGTGCACCAGCTGGGCGTAACTCTACGTCCGACGTAGAACCGAAGGTTAAGACCAAACTAAAGTTATGACGAGTGCACCACTTAGACTTAAGCCCTGTATGCGTTGCGCCCGGGTGTAACTTTTACGCCTAGTATGGAGCAGGTGTAAATCGGAAAGACAGACTAGTATCCATAGTAACGTAAAACAGGCAAGAATGATATTAACGATGGCAGAGCGTCTTGTTTACATGTTTAACAATGAAAGGGCATTAAGAAGAGTCTCAATTTCTCCTTCTCCAGCTCAATTGTTTCGTGTTACGCTCTCAATTTGACGGTCTCCACCTCCACACGAACGATTTCTTTCTCCGTCAGTTCCCGCTGTAGCTCTGACAAATCCCTCTTTCTATTTCGGGGTGTGGCCATTTGGGATTCCCCTTGAGTCATCGATGACGCTGTGGGTGTGGGAATTCCCTCTTCTCTGCGGTCCTCTGAGTCTGTAAAATGGCGTTACTTGGCAACAATTACTGTTTCGCGTGTATTCACGTGGACGCGCATCTTAAGACCAGGCGCAGCTACGCCCGAGACTAGTGCACTCGGTGTAAATTCGAATCACTACGTCGGACGTAGCTAAACCCGACGTTAGAGTTAAGCCCTACTTGTTTACACCCAGCTGGTGCACTCCACTCCGGGGTACCAGCAAGCCCCCAGGAAGTGCGCCGGACTCAGATGAAAATATTCGTGCTGGCCAAATGGCGGTACTACACTTCCGTTTGGTTGCCAGGCCCGGAAACACTTTTCCCCATTGACTTACATGGGGAAAGAGTGGTCTGTAACTCGTTGGATAATTTTTTTAAAACTAAATAAACTACCCAGTATGAACACTTGTATAGCCCTTATTAAAAACATTCGTTCCTCAAGTTGTAATAATGTGCTAATAACGTTATTCTGAGAGTTATTTCCCTCTGCATTATGAACGCGCATCTAGCTCACGGGACCGCGCCGCCCGGCACGTTCATGTTACGTGTCCCGACCACAGGGTCGGCGTCATGGGGGGTCATTCGCGGGCCATGCCCCCCCAAATGAGTCACTGTGCCCCCCCAACGCAGGGTGGGCAAGCCTTATTGCCACTTTGCCGTTTTTTTGTTGTAATCATATAAGTTAAAACGTTTCCACCAAAAGTTTTTTGTGTGAAATACATCAGAAATAAAGAATACAAATGTGTATTCTTTATTTATTCTTTATATGAAACACAGCCTGAGGTGTGCTCACTGCTGCTCTCTGATTGGTGTGTTGCTTGACCAATGACCCCGACCTTTGTTTTGTTATCATTACGTGGCTGTGTGTTTAGATGAAAGCCCAGTGGCGATCTGTCCATCTGTTATACTGATTATACAGTAAAGCCATCGAAAATAATATGATATACAGTACAGTACAAGTACATGGGTCTCTGTGTTTCATTCAAGCTCGGCTCTCTGTGTGTGGCACGAGCGCATTTTGTCAGTGCGCGAGCGGTAACGTGGAATATTGTTGTTAGCATCTGGTTAGCTAGCTATGCTAACGGATATAAAGAGCTGTTTCTACACCAAGGTGGAGGAGAGTCCTCTCCTGTCAGACTGAGAGGATCTTATAACCTCAGCTCAGTGAGGTAAAGGACTCTGTGTTTAGATAGTTAACTTTAGTGTAAGTTATCTCAGTGGGTCTCAAACGGTTTGGTGACCATTTATGTAAACAAGTATTTGCGAGGAATAGGCTACCTTTATATGATCATTATAATTATTAAAGAATAAGAGAATAAATGAAAAACGGGTATGAAATACTATAGGACAGTAACACAAGAATACAGTTTAAAAGGGGAGTGATTAGTAAAATATCCATAAAGGAAAAGTAAATCTGTTTACAGTTCTGTTTCATATGGATGTTGAGAGATGTATCCATAGATCTCTTCATTTTGCTCTCAAAGTGCACCAGATTGATGCATTTAACTTCAATATTTTTAAAATAATCTTTCCGGGGGAGCATGCCCCCAGACCCCCCTAGAGGAGGTTAGGTCCACCCCCACCTAAAACATGGATAGGATACTAAATACATTTGCACACTTTTCATATGGTGGCCTATGTCCATATGTTTCTGTTTTGGTGATCGTGCCACAACCGTGCATGTATGCAGAAGTCATAGGTGCGCTATAAAATAGCACTACACCCTGCAATGTGTGTGAGAGACAATACACTTTACAGCATGTTTTTTTAAATTGAAGTTGCGTTGGTGTTTGTGTGTTGGTTGTTGACGGCAGTGTGTGCCCCCCCTTGGTAAATGATTTCCCCCCCATTTGATTTGTTCTAGAGCCGACCCTGCCCGACCAATCAGAGCACACTGTGCTCACAGGGAGGGTGGGGGCTGAAGCTATTGAAGCTACAACGAGCCGTTAAAGGCAGAGAGTGAAATTCAGTGAATACACGTAGTTTACAGAGATGCTGTATGAGAAACCAATGTGAGTTGCGTTTATCTTTACCCATGGATGCACAATAAGAACGGATCCATATCGTCTTACTGCCATCCCACGGAGCTGTAATAATGGATATATTGCACATGTTTGCTGTAATTCATTATCATACTACATGGGCTGTATGATTAAATCTTGTACCGTAAATGTTGTATTAAATAAAGTTAATATTACCGACATTATTAACGTCCCTGTAGCTTCGTATTGCACTAAGAAGCTTATTGCACTGTAGGCCTATATAAATATATATATATACAGTGCAATAATTATTTCATGCTAAATGAAGCTCTGTTGGATATCACTAGATCCTGTTACAGCGTAATATAAGTACATAACGATTGATGTGTACATTAGCATCATTACTAGCTAGCTGCTAACTACCGCCTCGTTCATATCAAATCCATGATAACAAGAATCCATTACCATGCTGTCATGAACGCGCGGTGCTGTTACGTGTACGCAAATTGACGTGCTTGATGTGAACGAGCATTTTGGTTAAAGTTGCGCATGCTCTATGAGCGCACATACGGGTACTTCTCAGGCATGCTGGTTAATCTGTGACGTTTCACTCTCTCAAAAGGTGGGCCATTTTATCATCATGCGCTAATGAGCAGCTCTCATAGGAATGAATGAGGCCCCGCCTCCCACGCTGTATCCAGTTCTTATTATACATCCATGGAACCAAGCCCCCAGGAAGTGCGCCGGAGTCTGATGAGAATATTCGTAGTGGCCAAACGGCGGTACTACACTTCCGTTTGGTTGCTGGGCCCGGAAACACTTTTTCCCATTGACTTACATGGGGAAAGAGTGGTCTGTAACTCGTTGGATAATTTTTTTTAAACTAAATAAACAACCCAGTATGAAGACTTGTATAGCCCTTATTAAAAACATTCGTTCCTCAAGTTGTAAACATGTGCTAATAACGTTATTCTG